GCTTTTCTCCCCCCTCATTCACACAACCAATTAATATGGTGGAAAGAGTAGGACTGAATTTAGAGTAAGAAGTACATACTGGATCTGCTAATTATTCCTTGTGTGAAGGCAAGCCACTTTCCCCTTCAGTCTCAGTTTCTCCATCTGTAAAATGAAGGAGTTGACCTCTAAGGTCCCTTCCAGTTCTACCCCTACAAAATACACTCATTCATCATGTATAGAAATGTACAGCCTCACTAGCAATTTAAACTAATGCAAATTAAAACAACTTTCAGGATAACATAAGCCTATTTATCTAGCAAAAAATAAATATGTAGGGTATCCCAAAAGTCTTAGCAATTTAAAGGATTTGAGTTATTAAAGCTTTAAAATACAGTAAGGCTTTTGAGATGCCATGATTATGATAAAGAAGGGGCAGAGTGACACTGTGAGCATAGGACTGGCCTTTGAACCAAGAGGCCTGTGTGAAAGTCCTGCCTCAGACACATACTAGCTACTATTGGCGAATCATTTAACCACTCAGGGTCCTAAAGCAAGTCTCTCAGACAAGAAGACACTGACAAGTTGTGGATCTGCATGGGAGTTCACATTCTTGGAGTGCACTAGTCCCAACACATTTGAAAAATATCATTATAAATTTGTTGAAACAACAAAAAAACCAATGCGTATGATGGAAACTGTCATCAGGCCAGCAGTGGAGAAACAGGGTCAGTTGGTAATTGTTGGTGCCATAGTTAGTTCAGTCCTGGATTTCCACTTAAAAATATGCATATAGTCACCTAACCATACAAGATCTCAAACTGTATCATAAAGCAGTAATCATCAAAACAATCTGATCCTAGCTAAGAAATAGAGCAGTAGATCAGTGGAATAGATTAGGTACACAATACATTGCAGTAAATGACCATAGTAATTTAGTATTTGATAAACCCAAAGATCCAAGCTTTTGGGACAAAAACTCATTATTTGACAAAAACTGCTGAGAAAACTGGAAAACAGTAAGGCAGAAACTAGGTGTAGACCAACAACCAAAATTAGGTCAAAATGGTAACATGATTTAGACATAAAGGGTGATACCATAACCAAATTAGGGGTGCATGGAATAGTTTACCTTTCAGATTTATGGATAAGGGAAGAATTTAGTACCAAAGAAGAGACAGAGAACATTACAGAATGTATAAGCAAAACCTATGCAACCAAGATTAGAAAGAAAGCAAAAAACTGGGGACAAAAAAATTTACAGCAAGTATCTCTGACAAAGGCCTCATTTCTCAAATATATAAAGACCTGAATTAAATTTATAAGACTACAAATCATTCTCCAATTGATAAATGGTCAAAGAATATGAATAGGCAGTTTTCAGAAGAAGAAATCAAAGCTATCAATAATCAAATGAAAAAAAT